ATTGTACCTCATCTATAGTATTTGTTTTTGTCGAGGAATTCACTGAAGTCGGTGTTTTTTTATTATTAATGGCTTTATTCAATATCATAGTTTTCGTACAATAAAGAAATTCTCAGAACAGGGTTTTTCAACAAGTTTCTTACACAAAAAAACCCAGAAACAAAGACAAAAAAAGGGGAGAAAAGGTTTAAAAACAATCTGAAAAACTGTACAACTTTTCAAATTAGAAACATAGTTAAGAGTGCAGGTCATTGACTAGGTTAACTCTAACAACCTGTTCATCACAGAGTATATTAGCTAGGTAAGGTATTATAGAACTTTTATACTTTTGCTTGTGTGCATGGATTTTAATGAATTGACGTCTCATTCTACCAGAAGATATACAAGGAGAAAAATGAGAGTGAAGGCGATGGTTAGTATCTGATAAGGTAGCACCTGTCAGGAGTTGGCATGACTTTAGATGTCTATCCACAGCTATATTAATTATGACCTTGAAAGATTCACCACACATCTTGGTAACTGCCTTCAGCACTCTCCTCAATACAGCAAAGTCTATTCTCAAAAGTTTGGGAAAGAATAATAGAGAACAGTAAAGAATAATAGATAATATGCAACAATTGACAAACTGTAAGATTAAATGACGAGCAATCCCAGATGTATGTAGCCTTTTTATTTAGTGAGTCAGATGGAAAACCTTCTTCAATAACCAAGAGAGATCAGAGGAAAAGGTAACAACAAGAGAATTAACCTTCGACATTGTGTTTATCAAAGAATCTTCAATCGTACAAGCATTATGGGAACTCAAAATGGTGTTTAGATGGTGTTCATGTCTCATGCTCAATTAACAGCTTGACATTTAGACGGATTAAGTATAAGACCATTATGAACAGACCAACAATCAATAGGAGACAAAAACTCATTCATTTCTATGGGATGTAAAGAGGAAGAAATAGACATACATACAGTGAGATCATCCGCATATTTCACAAAAGTGTTTTCTGTGGAAGATGTCAGATCATGCAGAAGAAAAGTGAAAAGAAGAGGTGAAAGAAAAGCTCCTTGCGGTATACCTTCATGAGACAGTATAGACTCTGAACACTTTCCTCCAAACACAGTGTACTGTTCCCTTCCGGCGAGGTAGGAACATAGCCAGTCGGTTATCTAGCTGTCAGTGTTGACTCTGATTAACTTGTTAATTAAACATTGTCTTGGTATAGAATCAAATCTGAAGTATAGTTCAAAAAAGCACATCGAACATACTTCTTACCCTTTTCTAAGTTGAACACTATATCACCAAAATAGTCAATTTTCTCACATATTCGAAGATGTATTTAGACTTAATTTCCATTGATGATATGGGAGTATATGTGACTGGTAAATATGGTTCTTTATTTAGTTCTGGTCATTGCATTATTTGTGTTCTACCTAAAGTATATAGCAAGGTTGGATAGAGTATACTCTTACATGAAACAAATAAATTACATAGAAGAAACTATAAAAGATCTGTAAAATATATTTCGCACGACAAAGTAGGATCTATTTACAAAGGATTCATTGAAAAACATCGTTAATCTCCTCACTTGTTATTTTAAACTGGTGTTTATCATCTTACTGAAACTATTCATGATCAACTTACATCCTCAAAACTAAGATGATTACAAAGGTACAAAGAATGTATATGGAAAAGAAAACTACATTGAATTTCGAAAGCCAAAATGGTTTAATAAATCAAGGAGTTAAACATCTGAACTTGATTTTTACTTAGAAACTCCAATGTTGTAAAAACTTTTAGAATGTTGGGAAACTATTTAAAGACCTTATAGGTGGGATAATGCTCACTTGAATGTTAGTGATCTAAATAAGTCTCTAGTATAGCAACCATCTGATGCCATGCTCCCGATATCTACAAATGTAAATAAGAGTTATGTTTTCATTTTCACTTTAATTGATGTCCGAAAATATTTTTAGTCACCTAACTCGTCCCAATGTTTGAAACTGTTAAGACCCAAGAAACATAATGAATGGTAATTTTTGGGATCCATTTATGAACCAATACTATGAGTATATTATTGTCCTATAACTGTTATGTAACTAAACTGCTCATATTTCATGTCCCTCTTATTATGAGTTTTATTTCGACCTATGAATTATTATTATATGGTTTACCATTCTTGAATTATGCCCAGTCTGTTTATCACTACCTTCCACATTCACAGTCAGATTTGACCAAATCTAGCGTAAATGTTTTTTCCTATTTTATGGTTCGATGTGGTCTGTCTGCTTGGTATATTAACCCAGTATGTTTGAAATAAATGATCCATATTGCAGAGGCTGAGACTGATGTTCTGGACTTAACTGGCTGGGCTAGGCGGTAAGCGGGACCTATAAGTACTCTAGGCTGCTCGCACGTGTTTTACGCGTCCTTGGTCCGATCGATAAGACACTGTCCTCTAATCGGCGGTCACAAGTTATAACAGAAACTTGATGAAATGCCAAATCTGTATTCAAGAGCATCTTTAACAAGTTTTCCTCATGTAATTTTACGAAGAAAATGTGAAGGAAGATAAAAATAATCCAAGTATCTTAAAAAAATATCTGGCGATATGAATGTAAAATTAAGACACAGAGCAAAATCTTCTCATTTTCTCAAAACAATGGACAAAATATTTCTACTTCCACTTTACCCTGCATTAAAAAGAACATTTACCCATACCAATTTGCTTGAAAATGAAAAAAGTACCTTATATGCGGCTATTGTTCGACATAATCATAGAATGTTCAGTTTACGAAAGGGTTAGAAGTATGCTTGATGTACTTCTACTTCTGCCTTTGACTCTATTCCAAGACCACTATTACTTAAGAAGTTTGTCGGCATCAAAACCAATAGCTAGATAAACGAATGGTTGTGTTTTTTTCTTTTTTGACGAGAGCAGTACAGTGTAATTGAAGGAAAGTTTTCATCATCTTTACTAAGACAAGAGGTTGTGGCCTAAGGAACCTTTCTCTCTTCTTTTATTTTCGCTTTTCTTCTGTATGATCTCCCATGTCTTACGAAAAACCTTTTTGTTAAATATGCAGACGATCTAAGTATATCTACAAAAATGTATGCTTGTACATATTTCCTTGAAGTGAATAGGACCTATCAGTCTCGCGTGTGAAAGCATAACCTCTAAACCATTGAGCCGGACGGCAATCAACGGTGTTAACGTCTAACTTCATTATTATTACTTATTTATTTGAACACATAAATATTGGTACAAGGGAGCATCAGATATATATGCGTCACACAATAACAATGACAATGGGGTGAGACAAAGAATGTAAGGGGCGTATAAAAAGAATAATAACGACCACAAATTAGTGTATGATAGTAAAATAGTAATAATAATGAGGAAAACAGAAAGGTACAACTAGAAAAAATTCTTTCATTAAAAGAAGTTACGGTCACTTTTTATGAAGGAAGTAAAAGAAGGCTATAGCAGGATCGCCACTGGCTTCTATTCTGAGCAATATCTGATAACGCCTCTAGCCACTGTGTTGCACCATCTCTGGGACCCTAGCCAGGGAGTTGTGAAGGACCAACAGAATCCAGCTTTTTGCAGCTTCCTTTCATACCACGACACCATGTCATACACTGACCACCTCTCCGCTTTATCCAACCTGTCCCAGCGTCGGTTAATAATGCACGACGTGGAATTCTCTGGGATGACATTCGTAGAACATGTCCAAGCCACCGAAGTCTATGTTTCAAGGTGGTGGCACCGACTGGATTATCGTCACTGTGCCCGAACACACGATGCCGAACCTCTGCATTACTGACATGGTGTTGCCATTGGATGTCAGCAATCCTTCGGAGACAACGATGATCGAACACAGAGAGTCGTCTAACATCCTCAATTCGGAGGGGCCAGATCTCACAAGCATAGAGCAAAACTGCTCTCACCGACACGTTGTAGATCCAACCTTGCACAGCCAGACTAAAATTATGAAGGCTCCAATGATGGCCCATATTGGCATAAGCCGCTCTGGCTTTCACTATACGTGCATTGATCTCATCACTCACGTCACCACCAGGACTTATGCAGCTACCCAGATACACAAACTCCTAGACTTTTTCCATTTGCTCACCACCCATGGTGAGTACAGGATCAGAAACCTCCCAGTCTTGTAGAAGTACTTTGCACTTCGAAGGTGCAAAGTACATACTATACCTACAGACGCTGACTGCCAACTGATTAAGTGCGGATTGCATAGCTCGGGTATTATCTCACAGGAAGATAATATCATCAAGATCGCGAAGTCTTTCTCTAGGCAACAGATTCACATCGCCATTACTTACATCCATCAGAGCTGTTTCTAGAATGTCATCGATGGCAAAGTTGAAGAGGAATGATTAAATTGAGCAACTCTGTCTAACCCCACTTCGTGAATGGAACTTTAACTAATCCATAACATTGAACGATACATTCACCACTATCTTCAATGAATTACTATCGCACAATAGATTCAGTTGAACTCCACTAGTCATTGCTTCATACTCAAACTCCAAGAAATATCTCTTCAAGCCAATAACTAAGTGAGTATATATTGATTTATATCAGAAAACGTTTTATAGATTGAATTATTCAATAAAATAATTAAAAATTAATATCAGTACAAGAATTAATTGGTTTATTATCATTATCATTTATGATTAAACTAAATATGAATATTTGTTGTTGTTGTTGTTGATTATTTGATTGGTTGAATTATCATTTATTCCCCTCCTCGTTGAATTCTGATTGGTTAATAATAGTAATAATAATAATAATATTATTATTATTATTATTATTATTATATTTCATTATATATATATATATTACTCTCATCATTGTGTAATTAGTTGATTACATATTTAAGAGTGTATCAATTATGGTAATCTAGTGTTTCCCTCTCCCCTCCTAGTTTCCCCTTCCCTATTCTTTTGTTGTTGTTAACTGTGTTTATACTATATTTCATAAATGATGGCTATTCCATCACAATGTTCATTAGAATTACTTACAGATTCATCATCTCATTTATTAACTAAACCAACTACACATATCATCAATAATGATTGTTTATCTTATTCAATCAATCCAATGATAGAATCAATAATTGATTCATCAAATATTGATCAATTGACTATAAAATCAATAAATCATCATCATCATGATAATGATAAATCAATATCATCGAATTCTACAAATGATTGTCCTATAGAAACACAATTATATAATGAAGAAGAGAAAATTTTAACCCAATGTTTAATCCATGATAATACTAATAATACTACTAATATTAATAATACTACTACTAATAATAGTAATCAATTATTAAATGATTTCTATTATGATCATGATCTATTACATAATCCATATTTATATCATACATATTATGATATTGATTATGATTTAACTGGAATCCCACCATTCAATCATTCATCATTAATGAATAATACTGGTTTAACAAGATCTACTAGAAAAATTGATAATGATCCAACAATATTATTAACTTTATTAAAATGGGCACGTATTGGTTCGAATCAATTCCATGGAGATGATGATCTAATTGATCGAATGAATTATCAATATACAAGTGTATTATTATTGATTTTATTAACATTAACTGGATTTCGTCAATATTTATGTAAGTTTTATGGATTGATGGTTGTTGTTATGTCATTTGAAATCTCAGGCGGTTTTTTGATTCGTTTCTTCTTGAAGTGATACCGGTTTTTGTGTTTCCTTACAAGAATGGATTATATTTTATGGTTGTAATGAATGAGAATATAAGTGAGGATAATCGAATGGGTGACCTTTGAGCAACTCTAGACTGACTTTCAGAGTGTCCACTTAATAACTTGTACTAAATGAGGGTTAAAAACATGTGTGTGGAATTAGAGTAATGATTTACAGTTGGTGGTTAAGGTTAGAAATTAGATTTCGGGTTTTCATCACGAACTGGCATCATTTATAATGCTAAAAGTCTATTTATCCAAATGGATGAGTGAATTTCACTCCAAATCCCAAAATCTGTTATCTTATACGTGATTGGTTCGTTCATAAATTATAGTCAATCACTTGTCTCAGAGCTTTTTGTTACTTCGTTTCCACATCAATGATTGTCTGTTGTTGTTCTCTTTTTTTCGATCTTCTTAATGTTCTACCTACAAGCATTTCACATTCTATTAATGATACATACTACTTATATCTGTCGATATTAGTAGCACACATCATAGTATGACTGACCACTGAGTGATAAGAAAAAGGTCTCAACAAGTGTGGAGCTAACACGACAGTTACTTACAGAAAGGTCGTGTGTGACCGACCTCAAGCAGTTGTACCTTGAACAGTGAGGTCACGCCCTCAGGTCACAAAGAACACCTCTAATCCAATTTCCTTTTTCAGATATCTCCATAAGAACCCTTCCACGGTGTGGGCAACCGGGAAGTGATAACCGCCGTCATACCTCTAACAGCACTCACAACCTCTGTATTCCTAAAACTTCCTGCAGTCGTGAATGAAAAGAGAATGATCATCAGTATGACATCTTTTTCACTGCTACACAACAAGAACTAAGGCCGAAATGGCCGTCCAGTGTTTCTAGGTTTTCCATGGTGGTCTAGCTTCAACTGACTCATGATTTCAATCTGTGAAATTTCTAAAATCTCCACAAACCCCTTCTGATAAAAAATTTTGTGTTAATATCCAGAATTGTTTAAGCAATCATGAGATTCAGGATAAGAGTGAATCATTTTGTTATTTTAAGCAATGAATACTTGTATTCACTTGGTATCGTTTACTTGTATCTTCCCATTATTAATTAGGTCTACAAGAATTCAGAATGCACGTTTCGTTCTATTTAGGATTCGTCAGCTAGATTTATCTGCATTTCAGAGTTGATATTCATTCTGGATTCCACTACCAGCCACTATCTATCTTTGCTTATAATGAATACTTGATTTAAGCCTCTGTGTATTATGTATTTAGTAGACAGGTTACAAATGAAATCAAATGAGTAGTATGAATTTCTCTATTTATTATCATTCAAAAATGAATTTTGTATAGTTTTTCAGAAATAAAAACAACTTACATGTTGTTGAGACTATGATTTATGGATGACCTTTGAGTGACTCTAAAGGGATCTTAAGAATGTCCACCAACTTACTATTGGCTAAAATGACGGTTAAAACTCAGTATGAGGAGTCGTTAGGATCAGGAATCAGATTTAGGGTTTTCATCACAAACGAACATTAGCTCTAATGCCAAAACTCTATTTAATCAAATGAATGAATTGATCTCGCGCCAAAATTCAAGACCTCTTATCTTAAATCCGATTGGTTCGTCCATAAATTATAGTCTTGCCATAGATTTTAGTCAATTTAGTTACAATTGTTCAACTACTGAACAAAGATCAATGTTACATGTTGATTCTATTCATTCACTGGACGGCCATTTCGTCCTTAGTTCTTGTTGTGTAGCAGTGAAAAAGATATCATTCTGATGATCATTTTCTTTTCATTCATGACTACAGGAAATTCTAGGAATACAGAGGTTGTGAGTGCTGTTAGAGGTATGACGGAGGTTATCACTTCCCGGTTGCCCACACCGTGGAAGGGTTCTTATGGAGATACCTGAAAAGGAGATCGGTTTAAAGGTGGTCTTAGTGACCTGAGAGAGTGACCGCAGTGCCTAAGGGACAACTGCTGGATGTCGGTCACACATGACATTTTTGTGATCAATTTTCGTGTTAGCTCCATACTTGTTGAGACCTTACCACCGGAGATGGATATCCGTGGAATAAAACGAGATGTGCAGTTTTAGGATCGACCTTTTCTAACCTCACCCCTCCTTGTGAGAAGGCAGTATCACTGTCATGCTTGTTGTATGAAGGAAATACCTTACTGTCGTCACATAACTGTGCAATCAGCAGTACAACTTCGCCTTCGGATATTGGATTTGTTGCTTTTAATCTTACCGCTCTTCAACCGACCTGTCTGGCATGGTAGGATCTTGAGGAACGGTTGTCTTAGTCAGTATAGCTTGATTGGTTCATCACAATAGGCTAGCCCGATCACCACATCAAGTTAGCAACAACGATCGGTGCCAATTGCGGCATAGCAACTTGGGCCGATGCATATATGTACCTGGTCTTAGATTGTAGCTCGTTGACTGACTGATAGGAAATTCTCAAGGCAAAAAAAAGATATATAAGTTATCTCATCCCAAATTGAACATGTATTTACAAAAGTTCAAATGGAAATATGAAGAGAATACCTATACAACCATGATTATTTATCTTCATTTATCAAGATTTTGTTTGATAGATTAGATCTTATTATCAAATGATATACATTCGTTAATTATAAAATGTTGTCAATCACTTGTAATACAATTTGTACTTGAGATTACTCTACCATTTGGCAAACATTACAGAAAAAATAGATGAATTGTTGAAGTGTTTACATTTAAGCTTTTGAGATGGTGGAGAAGATTTGTAGCTCAGGTGGATGATTTTGGTGGAGTTTTGTTCTCTGAGCTGGATGGTTTGGTTGTGGAGCTTTCATCGTTCTTCTGAACGAAATCATCTGTTTGAAGTTTGTGTTGATGATGTCATTCAGAAGAACGATGAAAGCTCCACGACCAAACCATCCAGCTCAGAGAACAAAACTCCACCAAAAACATTTAAGCTTTATCATACTTGAGATTTGTCAACTAGATTTATTTATGTCTCTATGTTGATATTTACACATAGACTTTATACCCAGTAACTAATACTCTCCAAATATCAGCATATTAATCACTAGACTACTAAGTTCAGGTAACTAATAACTAATCCAATGGTTTAAATTTTGCTTATAACAGTTGAAATCGATCAGTTTCTATTAGGATATTTGTATCCTGGGCAAATATCCTTGATACTGTCACTTTGTGTGTGTGTGTGTAAAATGTAAAGGATTATCACTAGGGTTAAACTATTTTTGTTAATTTAAAACTCATATTGATTTTTCAATGCAAGTATTATTATTATTGTTATTATTATTATCAGCTTTATTCAATATTATAATTTTGGTACAATATAGAATTCTCAGCGCAAAGTATTTCAACAAGTTTCCGTTTCTTTCTTCTTGGTCGGTCCTGGCGATAAATATTGAGGAATCGCCAGTTAGATGTTAGCACTTCAGTGAATGAACAACTGAATAATGTACATTCTTTTCGTTGTATATTGCCAGCAACCATATTGTCTCTTATTGAGTTTTCTGTAACTTTGACAACGAAAGGTTGTACACTTTTCAGAAACGCAGCAGAATAGGTTATGCGATTAATAAACATAATGATATATATTAAAACAAACAACAATAGATAACTTGTTGAAATATCTAGATGGCAGGAACAGGTAGCCCAGATGCTCAAGCAGGCCGCCCGTCTATAAGCAACGTATAAATTTAGTGTTGTGTCATCAGAAAGAACAAAATAATTCACAATATAAGTATCTTATGAAATATACACAATACGAGAATGGGATTTTAATGCTGACATGAACCTTCTTAAGTTAAACAGTATTATGATATTATAAACTGCTAAGACTTGTACATTATTGGATTCTAACTAAGTCAAGTGATGAAGATGTTTAACGTTCACTGCGAAACTAAATATTCTGAATACAATCTCCATTTGGATAGTGTGTCAGCACTTACTATGAGTCCCATATTGCAGGAAATAGTTGTTTTGATACTTCTAGATTTTCATTGTTTATCTAACTTAGATCAGTATGGGATTTCATTAGAATTCAACAGTCTTCCCAGACCCATACTGAAAAATGTGAGTGCTTTTTGAAGAGAATCAGGACAGTCTGTAAAATTATAATGGATGTGAGTAAATCACATAATATAAACTCTTTTTCAATACCATCGCAACTGATTCCTTCACATGAAACCATCTTAAATATTCATTGGTAGCTATGAATCAACATTATAATATTATTAGTATTATCCCATTGATTTGAACGATACTTGGCTTGATATTTGCTCGATTTCACTTCAATCAATTTAGATCATTATTTTTCGTTATCCATATGAAACACTTTCGTTTGCAAGGAACACATTTCGTAAGTATCGAATAGGTACTTGAATTACACATCATTGACTTGTAGTGTGGGGTCGAGTCGCAGTTGACTATGATCACCACTACATGAAGGTTGCGTACCAGATATCAGAAGGCGATTGAAGGTTGTAGCGAGATATATTTGTTGGCGATCTTGCAGTATCGAAAGAATACCGAGATCGTGTCAAAAGGGTACAAGCGGGACCACTGAGCAAACGTAAGTGCGTGCTAGGTCACAATCAACGGAAGGAAGAATGAATGTCTTTAGTACAGTTAAACAAACAATTACAGTAGAACAATCACTGGTACAATTGGTTATAATAATAATTGTTTCCATTAAAGCAATCGCGTTCTCTTGATAAAAGTAGATCACTACAGACTATTACACATGAAAGTCTTATCTCTAGATAGTATATTGACTATCATGATAAAACAATGTCCAAATGTATTAAATTTTTCGTCGTTGATAATCGAGGTGTAAGTAAATTTGTCGTTGTTGTTGTTGTTGACAAATGTGCATCCTGAGCTTGTTTACAAATATCC